GCGAGCTGAGCACCCCACGACCCCCCCAGCTCCATCACGGCTCCATCCCTGCGCCGGGCACGGAGCCTCCCGCTGCCTCCGTTCGCCCCCCGCGCTGCAGCTCGGCCCCGTTAGGCTCCGGGGAAGTTTCCAGATAACCACACAGCAAACAGGACATCCCGACGCTCGCTACAAACTTGCGTTCGCCCTTCCTGGCTGTCTCCGAGCTCGGATTCACCCCTGGCAGAGCGGAGCCGACGCGGCGCTGCGGGGGCTCAAGGACCTTGTCGTGCCTGAAGGGCAACGCGCGGGCGCAGGGAAAGCGGCCCCCGCTCCGGGACGCGGCAGCCTCATTCCCGGGAGCAGAAAGGGCCCCTTGTTGCGGCTCTGTCCCCGTGCACAGGCAGGGCTCGTGCCACGAGGGCCGGCGGAGCAGGGCCGGGGCCGGAGCCTTCGGAGCCGCTCGCTGCAGCGGAGGAGACGGGTCAGGTCTCAGGGCGCTGGGTTCTGGGGACACGCTTAAACCTGGAAAAATGGACCCTGACAATACCGTAGGATGGAGCCAACCTGGGCAGGTCGCTGGAAGGGGCGACAGGGCCGAGGGCTTTGCAGCCTCAGCGCATTTCTGTGCCTAGAACCCTGCGCAGAGAGTCCCTCACGTTCCAGTTCTCACTGCATCTTTCCTTGCAGGAAACACAGCCCCGAAAGACAGAGGTGGCACCTGGCAAACACCATCAGGGTGAGAGGCAGAAGTGCCCACCACGAGGACCTGACCTGCAGAGCTGGCCCGGGGCCGCCGAGGGCCACAGGGTCTCCTGGGCGCGCTCCCAGTTTTACCCATTCAGGTTGACGGCTCCGGCCCCGCTCGGAAGGCAGCCGGCCAGCACGGGCTTGCTGAGCTCCAGCTCCCCGGCTCGCTCCCAAGGAGACGCCCGGTCCTGCTCCAGCGCAGATCCAGCTGCCCGCAGGGTGTCCCCCAGCGCAGGGCTCCGAGGCGCCCGCGCGGCTGCTCCGGGGACGCGGCTGGAGCGCGCGGAGGGACCAGGAGCAGCGGCACAAAGGGAAGGCCCCAGAGCGCCGCCGTGTCCTCGGACCCGCGCGGGGACGTCCGTGCCCGCAGCACCGCTGCCCTCAGGGCCGTTCCCCAGCCAGCCCCTCGCTGGGCCCAACCGGGATCTTTCCTGCACAGGAGCCGTCCCCGCCTGCAGGAGCCACATACGAGCCCAGCGCTCCTAAGTCCACATTTCAAATCCTGCCCAAAACGCTCCCATTGCACCCACAGGCTCTGCCATTTCTACCCAGATGTGAGGCGGTTTTTGACAGAGACGTTGCAGCACGGTCCTAAGAAAAAAGAGTGATCAACCTAAACTCTGTCCTTGCACCCCCTCCAAGAAAATGGGATGATTCAGGTGACACAGGAAGACGTATATTGCTTTAAGGCACTTGTTTTACAGAGAGGTAAGGTGCACTTCAAGGTCTTGTGGTGAGACTCACTTCCTCTTCAGATGCAGAGAATTACAATCCAAGCGGCAAGATCTATTATTTATAACTAACACGCAGGAAGGTGGCATTCGCAGGACACTGAATGAATTCATTTTGTGAGCACGAGTGCCTCAGTTTTGCCAAGAACATCAAGGATGTGACATGAGGAAGGACCCTCTTTGCACTTGAGTCTGTTCTCTTGCACAAAGTCTGTTCTGAGGTTTAACGTGAGGTTTTTCTTTCCATTTCCCTCCTCCCTGGGTGATGGAAACTTTGCTGCCGAACGACCCACTCCTCTCCTACCTGCAACAGCAGTCATGCAATAAAAAAAAAAAAAGATCTCTTAAAAAACACTAGAGCTTTTAGGGGAAAGCCACAACTTCCAAATTTTCCTATAGCAAATGAGCAGAATAAATGGAAATTTTCAGATGTTTAATGATACTAACAATGAAGTAGCCTCCTCTCGCTGCTGCTACCCCTCCGCCGACGCGCTGGGAGGAACCCGATGCTATCGCCCGTCACGGAATCTCATCACGGCGCGCTCGGGTTCAGCCGCAGCCACCGGCTCCCACCACCTCGCCTCGTTCTTCTGCAATTCCAATTGTGACCCATTTCCCTGGGGAATCGTACACCGGGGCCGGCAGAGCCCCCGCAGGCACCGAGCGGCCTCCGATCGCCAGCGCTCCGCGAAGCCGAGCCCTGTCCCGCGCCAGGGGCAACTGGAGGCGCCTCCAGGCTCATTCGGAGGCATTTCCAGGCACTCGGCACTGCCCACACAGGTACTAAGGGCCATTCAGTCCCATATAAAACATGTCATGTTGGCTCCTTTCCCACATGCCATTTTAGCAGCTTCAGATGGCTCCGGAGGCCTCGGACTGGACCTTTGCGCAGGACAAGCATCACCTGGGGCCCAGATTTGTCCTTGCTAACCTGGCACCAGCCAAGGCAGAGCCATTTTCAGCAGCTGACGGGGCAGAGAAAGGGAAGCAGCAATTTCTGACGGCTTCATTACTACGGTGGGCAAGGGGAAGCTCCTGGTGGCTTTTTTTCCAAGCCTCTGAAGGGAGCAGCGTCTCCAGGGAACAAGATCATCCCGCAGAGCCGCAGGGAGCCACGCGCGCTGCTCGGGGCCATGGGCCACCGTACGTGGGTCTGCAGGATTGTCACCTGGCCCAAAACACAGCCCCTCCTGTGCGTTGGCCTCGCAAGGCCAAGGAAGATCGCAAGGTCTGCGGCAGCTCGCGGGAAAGGCAACGTGGGAGAAGCCTCCCTGCCGCGGCGGTGCCGCCAGGACGAGAAGGAAGGTTTCGTTTCACTGCAAGGCTCTTTGCTGCAGGAAATGAAGCGAAGCGGCTCCGCACCGCACGGAAGGGCCGCTCAC